ATGTCTGAATGCATGTCATAGGATGTCATAGGTGCATTATGTTCTATGTATAATTATGTGTACTTTCTTATTATTATCCTTTTTTTCTGTAAAAAAAATTGTACAAGCCTCCTCCCCATCAAAGTGACCAGACCTGTCCTTCTTTTTCTGGGACATGTCCATTTCATCTTTCTGCCCAGGAGGAATTCCCAAATAGCCTCCATTTTCAGGTCATGACTTAAGAAGTAGGAATTTATATTTCTATGAATGATTATAATAATAATGATGATGATGATGATGTTTATTTATAATGCCTTTTCCGCCAAAGGGCGGTACATCAGAACATGTACAATAGAAAACAAACAATAAAACAGCACACTATAAAATGCTTAAATACTAAAATAATATACTAATATGCTAAAAATAAAACCAAACAAAATCCTCATTGGTCGCTACCCATCTTGACTGATACCCATACCCACCTTTTAGCATTTATTTGTTCATGTCCTACTACATTTTTCTTTCATTGCCTTCATCTGAGGATGAGAGAGAATGCCTTGCCCAAGGTCTCCCAGTGGGTTTCCATGGCCAAGCGAGGATTTGAACTCTGATCTCCAGAGTTGTAGTCCAATGCCCAAACCACTCTGCCACACTGGTTTTCCTAACAGGACATGGAGGTCTGCAATGAGCACCTGCGATGTGTGCACAACTATAAGCCAGACATCCATATGCAGGTCCATATACAGCCAGAGAGCTGCAGTTTGAGTGCGTGGATTAGAGGAATTTCAAGGATTGAACTGAAAATCCCAGGATTGCATAGGATGGAACCATATCAATGGTATCAAGGTGCTACACTTGTGTAGTGTGGATGCACTCTTTTGTTTTTCATTGGGAGGCAAGGGAGTTCTTTATGTGAGAGAACACTGGAAAATGGTAGGAACCTTACTATTTGTAGTTTGAAATAATCCAAGGTCCTCCAGTGCAACTCTGTGGTCAACATCTGCCAGAAGTTGATCATAGGACGTTATCACACGGGGGCAAATCTGCTGGTTAATCCACACAAATCCCAAACAAAAACTGGATTTGTGCCTTGCGTTTTCACACGACGTCGCACAGAAAGTGGACAGAAAGTGGACAGAAACTGGTGTTATCCGAGATCTTTTGAAATTTGGAGGAAATGCAAATGCGAAATTGTTTGGAGGAAATGCAAATGCGAAATTAAGGTAATTACGCATTTACCGTAATGTGAAAAGCAAATGCGCATTTGGGAGCATTTCGGAGCATTTCCCTGCTTTTCCCATTGTTCCAGTGAGCATTCCTCTATCTGCGCATGTGCAAGAAGCTCATTTCTAGTACATTTACGGGCTTTTCTCGCTTGTGTGTGAACGTTAAATGCGCTTACTTTAATTTCGCAATTAAGGTAATTACGTCTGAAAGCCATTTGCGGAATCAAGGTTTATTTTCCGTTTATTTTCGGAATGCCTCATTCCCACTTTATTAGCGCTTTCTGGCCCACGTGTGATAACGTGCATAATGGAATCATGCTGAAGGACTTACAAATGCCTAGAGAAGAGCTTTCTCTAGGAACTTCTAGTTTCTCCAGCATAACTCTAGGGTCAATTTACAGCAAAATTGTGCTGAAGGACCTAGGGATTCCTAGAGAGAACATATTAATCCAAACCGCAAGTAATCAAATCCACAAAAGTCAAAGCTGCAAACGTGGAGGGCGAACTGTACAAAAATAACTCAAATGTGTTGTGAAGCAGAGAAAGAGGAATGTAATGTATCTGTGTGAAGCTTTGATTACTCCCCTTGCACCCTAACCAGATTATCTTTTTTTGCAAAATAGACATGGGAAGATGTTGCTGTTGTTTGTTGTTGTGTGCCTTCTAGTTATTTCTGACATATGGTCACCTTAAGGCAAACCTATCATGGGATTTTCTTGGCAAGTTTCTTCAGAGAAGGTTTGCCATGACCATCCCCTGAGGCTGAGAGTGTGTGACTTGCCCAAGGTCACCCAGTGGGTTTCCATGGCTGAGCTGGATTTCAAACCCTGGTCTTTAGAGCCATAGTCCAACGCTCAGACCACTAAACCACACTGGCTCCCATCCTTTTCAACATCACGTCCCCCAGAACCTTCCAAATATTATTTAATTGCAGTTACCAGCAACCTTAGCCAGCATAGCCAATGCTGTAGAATGCTGGGAGCTGCAGTCCAACAACATCCGCCATCTACCACCTGCACTTGCTCTGGCCTTTGACGGAGAAAACAGAAGCCAGGCACAGCACCATCATGGCTTGATTTTGGCTGGTGAAAGGTCCTCCCTCTATCCCAACTGGCACTGCTTGTGGCCTTTGAGAGAGAGAAAGAGA